TGGAGCTGAGTTGAGTTGAGTTGAGTCGAAACGATTTAACTTAAGTTGATTTGAGATTGAGTTGAGTCTAAAGGAGTTAACTTGAGTTGACTCGAGATTGAGTTGAGTCGAAACGATTTAACTTGAGATTGAGTTATGTTGAGTTGAGTTCAGTCGAGTTAACTTGATTTGATTTGAAGTTGTGCTGAGTTGGGTCAAACTCACTTCTTTTGAGTTGAGTTTGAGTGTGTTAAACCTTTAGTTCATTTGTTAAGTTGAGTTGATTCAAGTTTAGTCGCACTAACTATGTGTTGGATCGAGCTGAGTTTAGTCAGGTTAAGTCGAACTCATTTCAGGCGAATTGGGATAACTTGAGTTGAGGTTGAGTTGAGTTGAGTTAAATCGAGTTAACTTGAGGTGAGTTGAAATTGAGTTGTCTTTTGCTGAGTTATCCACATTGATTTAACTTGAGTTGAGTTGAGTGGAATTCAATTTACTTACACTTTAGTGGAGTTGGGCTTCAGTTATGTTGTGTCTAATCAAAGAAACTTACTTTAATTTGCATTTGAGTTGAGTCTAATCAAGTTAGTTTGATTGGTGCTGAGTTACATTGAATTGAGAAGAATTTTATAAACTTTTGCTGAGTTGGAATTGACTTTTTTTCGAATTTGGTTAACTATACAATCAAACTAACAGTAATTTTCAAATGAGGTGGTGTTCGCCATACCATATCTTTGCCTCCGCACTGATCCAGTAGCCGTGAATTATATTTCTTAATACATCATTTAATTGACACTTTTTACACAGTGGTCTAGCTACTATTTTAATTAATAGTGTGCGTTTTGCGTTTTCCAAATATATGGAGGGTCTCACAGTTTATTCTTAGACATATACGAACGACTTATGGCTTTTCATGGAAAGCGTTTCCTAAACTCAATTTGTTAAATCAACTTTTTTGATGTTGATCTGGTCAGGAGTCTAATCCATTCAAACTCGCTACTTTGGCCGTCCCATTTCTTATATCTCATAACAGTAATCCCTTGACTAAATGCAGGACATTCAAGGTTATTGTTGATCCGGACATTTGGCCTAGATTTAAGTTGATCCAGCACAATACTTCTTCTAATATCTAACGTCCATATGAAGCAAATGAAATTTATTGATTTCTCCAATAACTATTAGATTTCCTGAGCCTTGGTTAGAACATCGACCTTTATAGATCTCTCCTTGAGTAAAACCATACTTTTTTTTTTTTTTTTGGGTACAGCTTAAAGACCGTTTTAAAGGTTTTTACCCAAGTAGATAGATGAAGTGGGGAGAAAAACGCTAGGAATTATATTTTGAATTTTCGGTCACCGTAAGCGATTCTAAGATCATTAATTTTTAATTCAGATGCGCGAAAATTGCATAAATTAACATTAAAGGTTATTTTTCTCTTAATATTTACTGAAAACCTATGTAAAGCTTAAAGCAGAAGGCGAAAATGTTTATCTTCATATAATCAGCGTAATTGATAAACAAAGTACTCTTATCCTATTTGCACTATATGGCAAACAATAATTAGATCACTATGGAAATTCCAAAAAAACTTCCTGCTCTTACAAATTCTATTTTATATATACACACATATATATATATATTTTTTTTAAATAAATACCACGATTGTTTTGTATGTGAAATAGAAAAACCAAGCTCAGTTCACGATTTACCCAAACATTCCTACCATAGGCAACAAAAACAAATAACATATGAAAAGTTCTACATCTTTAGTCTATCGAAATATCGAAAGAAATATTCACACACTTACAAAGAAATAAGTATAAATTAATACAAAAACAATTGTAAGCTTAGCTTTTGCACAACAGAGCCAAGCAATAGTGATTGTAGTTTTGTTATTTTTTATTTCTTTTATTTAGCTGCTGTTGTTATTCTTCTCCTGCTTCTTCTACACAGTTACTCTTCGACACACCTGTCAATGTTGCTGCTAATAAATTTTAATTTTAAACTTAGAAAACGTCATAAATCGAATGGGAAAAGAAATGTTTACCCGAGAAATAAACAATTCGTTTCATTGTGTAAAATATATTGTATGTACATATGTATAAATATATGCATGTGTGCAATGATTGGCTGACTGACTGAACAACTATTGGCAATACCTATGGACGAACGGTCTGCATGTCTAATGACCAGACAGACAGTCGTGTAGCCGAGTTATTTTTAGAATTTTGGAATCAATTAATTTTCCCGCACAATTTACAAGTTCTGATATACACATATATACACATGTTTATGTGTATATTGTTATTGTTTTTTATTTAAGATTTCACGCTTTACTTTTTTTTTTATTACAATTAAAGGTTTTGCTTACAGCCTCAGCCTCTGCACACAGTTCGTTCAAATAGTACATATATCTCACTGACATATCTGCCCACGATCATTACTCCAATTACCAGCTGCCAAGCATTTGACGTTTTGTTGTAAAACCCCAGCGGGTCACAGCGTTTGGGTTATTCTATTCTACATTCCCTATTTGTTGTACTATTTATTTATTTATTTCGATTTATTTTAGTATTTTTTATTTTTGTTTTTACTTTTGTCAGCTTACACACATAATAAAAAATGTAATAACTTCGTGACTAGTTGGCATTTACATATTTATGTCTGCATTTATAATACAACAATCAAACAACATGCAAACACACACACTCCCCTCAAACGCAGACACATACATACATACTCGTACATGTACGGGTATAGTGTATAAGCTTAATTAATGCTTCGCATATTAGTTTCGAATAAAAGTTAACAGAAAAAAATTGCTAGTGCCAATAACTTTACATACATACATATAACTTATTCGTAGCTAAGTATATAAGCATGTGAGTTTAGAACTAAGCGGCAACACATAGCGCTTGCTTTGCTTTTGCTCCTCACGCCTAGTGTAGCGAGGCGAAAACTGGCTTCGCATTGGAAAATCCCGACTCAGTTTAAAAAACAAATCGGCCGGCGGCTACCGCTAATCAACATATAATAAAGCAGCAGCAACAACACGGTGTTAGCGGTGTACAGTGATGGTCTTAAGGATAAATTTGTAATATTGAGATATTACTCAAATCATAGTGATTTCATTTCATTTCCTCTATTTTATTTTATTTTATTTTGTTTTATTTTATTTCATTTCATTTCATTTCCTTTATTTTATTTTATTTTATTTTATTTTATTTTATTTTATTTTATTTTATTTTATTTTATTTTATTTTATTTTATTTTATTTTATTTTATTTTATCTTATTTTATTTTATTTTTTTTTTAGAATATTTTATAGAGAAAACAATTTGAGAACTGCACCACTATGCGACTCATTCGAAAAAATAAATTATCATAGCAAAAAATCAAAAAAATAATAATAATGTAAATAGCTACACATACACACGCTCAACAGCAAGTATCAAAATAGAATTAATAAAATATTTATTTATATCAACAACCGAAAAGCACACATTGACTCTCCTCCACTTCTATATACACAGCTTAGCGTTCAAGCTAGAGCAACTCTGTGTTAGTGAAGAATAGTTTAGCGTTCTTTCCATGAGTCCCTTAAGCCAGAACTTAGCATAGGAGAGCGTAGAACATTGAACAATAGCAGAGGGGCAGCTTTGAAGTGTCGATTAAGAGGCAAACTAGTTCCAGCATGAAATGCACTTTTATTTAGTTGCTTCAAGCTTTTGATTTCTGTTTCTTTCGTGTTTCAACAAACGCACGGAAATTCTAAAAATACACACGTAAGTAATTGTCAAGCAAACAATGAGCGATTTACAATTGCCGCTAAAAGCGGCTTGAGAGCTGCAGTTTAAGCTTTTCCCGCAGCAATTGCGCTCGCAAGTGCACCCTTCGGCTGAACTTTTTTCAGCGCGCTTGCAGCCATTGTAGTTGTGCATGTTCTTATTTGCCAATCAAGGGTTTCGGGGTGTTTTGAGCAAATCAAAATGTGGATTTCACAGTTCAACACTGGCAAACCATGCACTTGCAACTTTGGGATTTTTCTCTGAGTCGCCGCTAGTACTGCCGTCACTGCTGCTCCCGCTGCCCGCCTGCCCACCTGCGCGCCTGCCCACCTCCGCCTATTGTGGCGTCACACATTTGTATTTGCAATGCTAAGCGTTTGGAAAACAGCTTAGAGCAGCGCTTAACTCGGCGCGTCAAAAATATTTAGCACTGTCATGGAAGCTGTAGCGACTAGTTTTAGAATGACGCGCTTTGTTAGCGGTAGGTTCAGCGGCATTCGCTACGCCAATGACCAAACTCTATGATCAATTTGATTTCTAAAGAAATACAAACGCGGAAGTCAAGGTTGTGGTTTAAATTGGTTCGATATTTATTTTGCCAAAGAGTTTTCCTTTCAACGAAAACGAGAATTAAAAAAGTGAATAGATAAATGTGAGTGATAGATGAGTGGCTATTAAAAGCATTCAGAATAATAATTTTTATTTTATATGAAATAATTATAATTTTCTTTTTAAAAACGTAATCCAAATCTGATGGAAAGTAAAATTAATTTGTTTTTCACAGAAAAAGTATAAAATATTTTTATTAGATGAGTTTTATCTAGAAATTCGAGTGATAGGGTTAGCTGTGTTTAAACGAGATTGGTCGCAGTAACCGAGCAGCTATCAGTGGGCGCTAATATGCAGTCCGAAATTAGAAAAAAAAAAAAAACGTTTATTAATTACGGTCGCTCCTCGGAAGTGTATTTCTGATATAAAATAAAAAGCGCCAGTTCAAAAAAAGAACGAAATTTATCTCAATTAAAAAAAGTTTTTGACGCCGAAATGAAGATATCAAAGATTTCAGAAACTGTGCCAAAAATAGTAATCCAGTGGAAATTAATTTTATTTTGAATGAAATCTTCACCGAAAATAATATAAAAAAATTATACTTAGTCCAAATTAGAATTTTCTTTGAAAAGTACTTTATTCTTTTTAAACTACAACATCCCTTTTCGCCTCCACTCATTGCAGTTAACTCCAGCGAGCAACTGCCTGACATCACCAACCGGCGCATTGCCTCAACAACATTTGCAATTGACGCCTGCACCAACACAGAAACCAACAACGCCGATGTCATTAGCTAATCAGCTAACGCTTTCACTCAAAGTTGGTGAACAAGCAGTTGCCGCCGCAAACGCATTTCTCGAACCAACTACCATATCAACGTCCGCGCACGCTTCCAACGCATCATCTTCACTGACTTCTTCTCCGAACTTGAACGATCCCTATGCCAGCTACGCCGATAACTTTGATCTATCGCTACTACCTCAAGATTGTGCATCCGCTAACGGGAATATACCAACAATTGTGTACCAATTTGGTTGCAATACGCCGGTAACACCAACACCACCCACAAAAACACCAACAACCGACACACCGACATTGTCAACAGCAACACCGTTCAACGGTTTATTAACGCCACCACAAATTAAAATCGAACAAGCTTGGTCGTTCGGTTCCACTATCTCCCTGCCGGAGGAGATTAAGCGGGAGCCGCAACAATCGTCGCCACAGCCATCGATGTTGAAATCGCCTAATCAGCTAATACCACCACCACCATACCCACACGTCTACCCATCGCCACAATCGAGTCCCGCCCAATCGGAGTACACATTTCCACAGACACCATTTGCCGGTTGCTACGAGTCATTGAACTCGTCGCGCTCAGCCCTCCATCATCCCTCATCCCCGTATGCCTCCTTAGAAGCCTGCAATAATATTAAACAAGAATTGCACATCCTGCCGCCATCACCGCCAGAGTCCAATTGTGAGGCACCCTCGCCGCATTCGTCTTGGCCCGATATTAAATCGGAGCCGATTGATGCGGATGTGGAGACATTGATTGATTTGAATATGTTGTTGGATAAAAAGGAATTTGCGTGCTCGGCTTATAACGATTACACTACCAACGAATGTGCCTTGAAACAAGCAGTAGCAGCAGCAACAACAATGCATATACAACAACAACAGCAACAACATCAGCAGCAATTACAGCAACAAACGCAAAATCAACAAAATCGAGATCATCAATTACTTCGCGACTTCTTCGAGGAGAATCATTTTCCAATGGGTTGTGGCATGGCCGAGGTTAGTGGTAACATCGAACAAGTGATCTCAATGGCGCTCGAGGACACGAAGAGTCTGGCAGTGGAGACCTGTGCTAAATTGCAGATTTCTCAAGGTGAGTTTTTCTTCCCGTGTTAAGAGCAGAGAAATTATCAAAATTTTGTCTGAGCTGCAACGTATTCCCGAGATATTATGTGACCTCCTTGACTGAGTCAAATCTTAATAGAAGACAGAAAATATAATTTAATTTCATTTATTTCTAACTTTGTTGTCTCATTTCTAGATCCCTGCGACTGGTCGGTATCACAAGTGCATGCTTGGCTACGATCCACCGTAGCACAATTTAAATTGCCGGAAATCGATTGTTTGGAGCGAAAATTTCCCGAAAATGGTGCAGCGCTGATTTTACTCAGCGAGGAAGAGTTCAAGCGGCGAGTGCCAGAGGTGAGTGGAAAAGGCATTTGCTATTTTTAACAAGACTACTGAGCATCCAAAGAAAAGTTTAAAATATTAATACAACTACACTGCATCGCGAATTTTTAGCAAACCACGAGCCACTTAAAGTAATTTTCGACCACTTCTTAGCACATATTGGAAGGGTATATGAGACATAACTTGACGAGTAATGGTTTTCAGGTGCTCAAAAGGTAAAGGGTTATCCAAATAAGCACGGTCTTTCGCTCGATCTCCATTGCCGATTGACTTCACCAAGATGAGAGATTACGCGGCCGAGAAATTTATTTTACCACAAAGTTATATTCGCTCGTGTTTAGTGGCATGTGGCGCCATCTTGTTGAAACCACATATTGTCCAAGTCGCGTTCTTTAATTACTGGCCAAAAGAGGCGGTTATCTACGACCTCTAAATTGGCAGAGACAGTCCCGTCAGTGACGTTTTTAAAAACCTCCGCACAAAAGAGCGCACCAGGCTATCAGTTTTTTTGTGTATAATGGACTGTGTATAATGGACTCTTTTCAATGACTTGAGGATTCTTGGGGCACCAATTGCGACAATTTTGTTTACTCTCGTAACCCCCGAGCGAGAAATGTGCCTCGTCGTAGAAGAAAACTTGTTCGAAAAATCGCCATCCACCGCTTGTTGTTCACGCACCCAGTGGACGTATGTTCGGCGCTTTTAATCAATAGCTGGCCTCAGTTGTTGTGTGATATGGAGTTTACATGGATGTCGGTATAAGTCCAAGTGCTAAAGAGGCGATAATGTGTCGTAAAGAAGTCCCAACTATTGAGTACGTCGAGAAGCAAACATATTCGGGTCAGTAGAGGCCTTGCAATATCTGTAACCGATTCAGTCTCTCCGAATTTCCTGAAGATTTTAAAAATTTCTTCTCCATTGGTACGATTATGTGCACCATAATCTTCTCTTCTTGCGTTTATTAAGGGACCCATTTTCACGAATGCCTAAATTTTGGCAAAAACAAAACATGTTTGGTTTGGCAATCAAATCTGCATATGTCAAAATATAGTCCTGCACTTTTGAGACCTCGAAACTGATAACTTTATATCTTTATTTTCACCCAATTCACGCATATTCATACAATTTTTTCAAAGAAATCATTTATTGCGCAATCGCGGCAACTCGTTTACCATGGCGCGCAAGCCTTTAGATGGCCAAAAGAAAATATTAAAAAAAAATAATAATAATAAAAAAATTAAATAAAATACGAATGTAGGTTTTCCGGCAAACGCATTGCTTTCTGTTATTGCTGTTGTTGTAAGCTGTAAGCTATAAGATGCATTTGCCCTAAATAAATACCGTTAAATTGCGCTTGAGCTGGCCCATTGAGTGATGCTTAGTTTGTTGAATAAAAGACGAAAATCGCTTATCAATAAGAAACGCACACACACACACACACACAAAGACACACATAAACACAAAAGCAACAAACATATAGCGGCACATTTTGCCGTGAAAGAAAAAAGTTGTAAAAATTAAAGAGAGAAAAAAAGCGAAGAAAAATTGATTAAAAAAGCCAACGCCAAAAACGAAAGAGTTACAAAATCAAAAGGCCAAAATTAAATACTTTTTTCGCACGAAAATGGACAGTTTAAAATTAAATAAATACAAAAATGTATGTAAGTAGGTATATGTGTTATATGTATATTGTCAACAACAATTCGAAATAAGCGAATTGGAGAGACGAGCAATTTGGAGAAACAAGTTTCGTAACTGCGTTGACGTCATTTTCGTTGTTAAGCCTCCCATACAAACACATGCACACACACACATACGTAACTAAGTAAGTAAAAAAAAAACAAACACTAACAAATACGCGCTCAAGAAGAAGCAACGCGGCGGCAGCTATGAGCGCCATGCGCTAAGCTAAAAGCCGTAATTTTACTTAAAAAACCCAAAAGTAGCAACAAACAACAACAAAGCACGACTTAAATTGTAAGGTGCTGCAGATGCCGATAACAACAAAAACAACGCAAGTCAACTTACTAACGATTAGTAAGCTTTTAGCGCGCGATGAGCGAGTGGCTTGTAGTTCATCAAAGAACAACAACAACAACAACAACAACAGCAATAAAAATGTGTTAAATTTATTTTTAGACCCACCAAACGACAGACGATCGAAAAGAAAGGAAGGAAGAAGAGCTGAATAAAAGTAGTAAATGCTTCTATACATATGTATATGTACTATACATATGTATGTTTGTATGTACATGTGTATTGTAGTTAAATCAGCGTGCAGCGAGAGCGCATTAAATGAGCTTCGTATTGAAGCGATTGAGTGTTTTTGTTTGGATTTGTTGTTTTTGTTTTTGTTCTTAAATAAAAAAATCCAAACAAACAAAAACGGGTATGCAAACGAAAGTAAATGACTAGTGCAAGTCAACACACACATACAAAGACCCAGCCACATGTACATATATGTGCGTGTAAGCGAGTGCAACAATACCAGTAGCAACAATAACAAACAACACTAGTTAATTACACTTACGTGTTGTAAACAGTGTTACCAGAGACGGCTAAAATTTCAGCAAGTTTTAAAAAAATTCTCAGATTTTTTGTAAACCAGTGGACTTGGAGCGACCTCTTGATTGCACCATAGTGTTGTTGTTGTTGTAACCGCAAAAATATTCCCCAAAGAACTTTTTGGGGAATGTTGCACGAGTGACAGTCCTTGGGCGGATGAAAATTCGGATCGGTCGGGTGTAAAGACCCGACTGTCGATGGATTTTAGACGCCTCTTAGGACAGACATGCCTTACCGGTGGTAAATTTTTGAACCCCTAACCAGCAAACCAACGTTTTAGAGAGACTAACTTTTGCAATTTCACAAATCTAAACTTCCATGAAGTGCCTCTGTATGTACTCCAGTATTTTGAGAATGTTCTTTTCGTGAGCATTGAAGACTTTAGGCGTCAGTTGATCCTTTTGAAATGAGTTTTAATCATATACGAAGACGTATTTATTACTACAAATACACAGTCTCCAAGAAAGTTACTTATTTTAACATTTTCTGAACACCTGGAAGGAGTCTTTTTACTTAGGAAGCCTTAGTAAAGGACCTTGGAAATGTGAGATAAAAAAGTATTGTATTAAGATGGTTCTGCTTCATTTTCTTCAAGCCACTCTATCTGTAAAATTGAGACGAAGAAAGTCTGTTTAATTATTCTAGCCTTAAGAAAATTTTAAGAATAAGCTTACATGTGTCCTCCTTCTTTATTGCAGACACCAATTGAAGCCAGAGGTCTTCCACTTCCTCTGCTTCCATTGATTACTTTCAAAGCCGGAGAATTTCACTGAAATATTGTATATATGACCATATCACGCAAAGCTTATCGTGCCATCGCTTCTGGTATTCGTCTCCTAACGTATACACACCAAGTATTAACATCGTCTACACTTCTGCGCCATATAATGAGCAAATTGGTTTCGACTTTACTTTTCAATTTCTACTCAGCCTGGCATAACGGCAGAAATTGTTCCTTGATTGACGAAGTTATCCACGGCTTCAAATGTCTGATGGTGGCTTATCGGCTTACAAAATCTCTGCAGCATTAACTTAACGAAGCCATACGATGAAGACTAACCGAGCAGCTAGGTGTGACTGTTGCCAGTTCTGGCAAAGCTTTTGGTATCAGTTTACATAACGGGACAAGTTTTGCTGAGATACCATAGATCCTAACTATAGCAAGAATTCAAACAAGCTACGTCTAAGCTATTCCGAAATCAAGTCAACCATAGATTTTCTAGTTTACTTTGACTGTAATATCAGTTTCCTAGGTATTCGAATCCAAAAATTCACGAAAACCGTTCCTTATGATTCACGCTTTGTGAGCGCTGAAGAGATTTTCTACAGAGCTCCTTCTTCAAATTTGTGCTATGCGATGTTTTACTAAGCCGCCTCCGAACGGCCGTTAGGTTTTTAAATGAGGAGCTTTTCATTTTTAGACAGAAATACAGTCGGTGGGCTTGACATTCCCTGCCGAGGGGCGACCGCAAATAAGAAAAATTAGTTTTCGATAAAATTGAATGTTGGTTGAAGCGAGACTCGAACGTTGGTCTTCCGTGTCGCAGTACGCAATGCTGAACACTCACTGTTTGAAAAAAAAAAAAACGATTTCAAACTTTTCGCTTCTCTTCTGAGGTGTTTTGGTCTAATTTTATGCCTATTCTACGGCACAGTCCTTGTGATCCATTTTCGAGTTCTTTTTTTGTTTTTTGAAACTGAAATTTCTGGCAACACTGTGCTGGCTTAAAAAAAAACTAGAAAAAATTACAACACCAACTATTCAACTGCGAAAGTGCGAAGAATTGAGAGAAAAAATTTGAGAAAACCAAAATTGACAACCGATAACGAAACCGGCAAAAGCAACAAAATCAACAAAAAACAACAACACGTTGACAGTGGTCACAACAAACGTAACAAGAACAGCAACTGAAAAAGAAGAAAAAAAAAAACAAGTAACAACAACAAAAGCACAATCAAATAACGACAATTTTGTGGAAGTGCAAAAGAGGAAGAGTCATAAAACGATAACAACACCAACAACAACGAAAGCGCCAAAAGCGATAACAAGAGCTTGACCGTGATCACGTCAATGCTAAATACACACTCGCATACATCCCGTCAACTCGTCCGCAAGTCAGCCAAACAGGCAGTTAAACGACGCATGTTGGAGCACCATTTCGACGAAGAAATGCAATGCAAGCGAACAATCGATGAAAGACAAGAAATAAAAAGCGAAATGAAAAAATCAGTAACCGTGGTCATGGACGAAGGTGAAAAAGAATGCGCGAGTGTGAAGGTTGTTTAGTGAAATTGACTACTGACTGCTGCAGCTACTGTCTACTGGCTGCGGCGGCACGTAACGACCGAATGTTGGTGCTGGGGATTGGAGCTGAGCGGAGTTGGTGGCTCAAAGGCCGTTTGTTACTGCGGCTGGAAAATTATTATGCACCGAATTGCCATAATTTAATCAATGCTTATGTATGTGCGTTGTGCATGACAAGAAACAACAACAACCACAACAACAACAACAGCGATAGCAACACATATTTTTGATGATCATAGAGACGAAAACCGAGACCGAATTTGTGACTAAAGTCATCGAGTTGCTGAGTAGCAAACTACAACAACAATAATGCAACAACAACAACCATAGCAACAATCACAAATCTCAAACTGACAATGTGGAAATAAAGTAACTGAGCCAACGACCAGCAACGACATTGCAAGGTGAAAGTGAGCCGTATTTCGTCATTGTTGTTGCTGTTATTGCGATTGTTGTTGTTTGTATTATAACAACAACACCACTGTGTGATATTGTATTGCGTGTCTTTTGGTGCTTTAACAGTATTTTAGTAAACTCACTCCCTACCCCCCCCCCCCTCATCTCCGCCTCAGAGCTTTGAGCTCACTTCTGGTCTCTGGTCTCGGGTCGGCCGTCTGATCGCTGCTGGCAGGCGTGCGTGCACTTTTCTACTCTTGTCTATAAATATCACAATATTAATGGTTTTTGGGTTTTCGTTATATATATTGTGCCTACATGTTGCTGTTGTTGTTGTTGTTGTTGATGTTGGCTCGTGCTGTTGCAATTTTTTGGAACTCTTGTTGGTTGGTTACCATGTCAGTTGTAAATGAAAATATTCCATCACAGCGGCAATCTCAGCTGAATACCTGTGCAACGGCATTATTTTGTATTTGTTGTTGTTGCTGTATTTTCATGATGTTACTCTTACATACTCTAAAGAGAGATGTGGTTGTTGCTTTTGTTTTTCATTTGGCACATTAAATTTGGTAAAAGGGAAAATAAAAATTAGTTAATCAATCAGCGCTGATTGATCTAAATGTGGACCATTTGAAGTGATTTCTTTTTCTTCTGCTGCTTCTTCTTTTAATTCCTCCTAATTCTTCTTCTTTCTCCTTCTTTCTTCCTCTTCTTCATCTTCTTCTTTCTTCTTCCTTCTTCCTCCTTCTTCTTCTTTCTTCTCCCTACTTCTTCCTTTTTATTTGATCATCCTTCTCCTTTCTTCTTCTACTTTTTTCTTCTTCTTCTTTCTTCTTATTTTTTCTTCTTCTTTTTTCTTCTTCTTTCTTCATCTATATTATTTTTCTTCCTTCTTTCTTCTTCTTCTTTCTTCATCTAGATTATATTTCTTCGTTTTTTCTTCTTCGTTTTTCTTTCTTCATCTATATTATTTTTCTTCGTTCTTTCTTCTACTTCTTTCTTCTTCTTATTCTTCTTTCTTCTTCTTCTTTCTTCTTTTCTTTCTTCTTCTTCTTTCTTCTTCTTCTTTCTTCTTTTCTTTCTTCTTCTTCTTTCTTCTTCTTCTGTTTTCTACTCCTTTTTTCTTCTTCTTCTTTCTTCTCCTGCTTCTTCTTATTTATCCTCTTATTTTCTTATACGCCTCTTAAATGCTATGTTCCCCGGCAACATTTTTAGGATAGAAGAAACATTTGGCGGAAATCACATTTTTATATCTGACCTTTTATGCACCTTCCTTAACTCGGGAGCTTTTCTGAGTTGAGATTAGCAGTTTTGTATACCTTCCAAGTCCCACTAAATTATTATTTATCGAGTACTCCGCTCATTTCGGTACGTTGTCAAATTTGACTCGGAGATTCTAATTTTTCGAAATCATGTTAAAAAATAAATTGTTGTTGCTTCTGTACTAGATAAATATCGCTGTAAGCTAAAAATTTTTTGGTAATGATCTCAAATCAGTTAGCTGAAAGTTCCGAATCAGCAAAAAGAGCTAATGGTTTTTACCCACTCGGGTCTGCTTCAGACCTTTCATTGCCATCAGATATTGCCTAAAGCCCATAGAAAGTACTAAGTTCTTGGAGCACTACTAAAGTAGTGACTGCCACTACATAAATATGAAGCAGCCGAGAACTGCATACAACTGGATGATGAGAGAAATGTCATCTTTAAAAACTAAGAGCGAAACCCTGGAGTACTCGCTTTGCGGGCTATGAATTTCATATAGCAAAAGAGAGTTGTTCAGGTTGTCCGAACTCCTTTAAATATGACCAAAATTGTTTGCATACGATTTGAATATTAGCCGTTTTGAGCTCGAGGGGTGAAATGGCTTATGTCTTTATATGAGGAGGAGTTGGCCTCGTCTCTTGAGGGGTTACCGTATTCTAAAACAAAATTATATGTGCTGACCGCTTAACTATTAATCGAATTAACTAACATAAAACCAAGTAGACGAGATGTGATAAATGAAGAAAAAAAGCATCGAATCTATTCCCATCCCTATCCCATGCACTAAAATGCATATCAACTTTTTACTAAAATCATTTAAATTAAATACACATAAATACGTAGTTATGTTTGCAGAGTAGTTCCAAACAAAATAAAAATGCTTAAAATTAATTAGTCTACTCAAAGAAGAGAAAAACAACAATGTTAATACCAGTTATTGTCGAATTGTGTAACAGCGCCATCATTTAAATACCAAAACCTAAAATACATAACATACATACACGTACATACATCTGAACCGACGCAAGCATATTTATTGGTCTTACATAATTCTTAGAAAAGACAAGATAAAAACAGAAACAAATACAAAAACAGTAATGATGGCACTTTGAATAAACTTAAAGTGACTAAGTTTTGAATTAAATATGTGCAGTTGAACAAGTATGTATGTAAATGAGAGCTGGCCGAATGCTTTCGTCGTTGCGACAAGGCCGAATTTCGATACAAAGTGAAATAAATTAACACTCTTTGTCATATGTATACGTATATATATATATACATGTATATATATATATATATATATGTATATGTGTATATTTGTATACTTGTGGCTTGTAAGCCGCTATTGGCTGGCGCATAGCTTAGCGGTTATTGAGTAGCGCGCTTAAATATATGTAATGGTGTTAACCGCTTTTCTGGTTTAATTTTTTTCTTTTGGACCTTCCTTGGCATTCGTCAGCATTGCATTGATTGAAAAATTAACAAAAATAAATAAATAAATAAAAATGGAGTCCTTACAATTAGATGCAGTTCAAAAATATTTACATATGTACATATGAAAAGTAGTAGCAGAAATTAATTATTTAACAAATGTTCTTCAGCTTGAGAAATACTGGTCGAATAAATAAAAAGAGCCTCATCCGTAAGAACTTATACAGTAACTCCCTCTCCTATACCTCATTTTGTTGCAAGGCATCGACAATCTATCTGCCTTTCACATAATTTCAGCGCCATTTCGACAATTGAAGAAAGTTGTATAGAGAGTCACCCCGCAGGTGCGATTGTTATCACCGATCCTTTGAGCTCTCGCCATTAACGTATTGCTGATGAAGCAGACAAGGTTACAGCCTACCCAGATGAAGTTTGAAAACTTTAGGCACTCTGGCGAATCATGCAATTAATGAGACTTAGATTCTGTTTTCTATTCAGAACATTTGCAACCGAAACTAAGTACTTGGCACTTGGTAATAGTATGGGGCAGCTAGTTGTTTGGGAGGCTCATTATGGAAGAAAGATTGATGTTACACCAACCTTTTCTCATTGGACCTTCGTCGTAATTGCGCTAAAGTATGGTGGTGGACTGCGGAAAAGACGAAAAGTCTTTACACCATCAATGTTTAGCACACCGGAATACTTAAAATAACACAATCTGCAGCAGCATTTTATGGGGTATATACTACCGTAGAACCAGAACCTAGGTTATCAGAACTTGCGCGCGCAAAGTGCTTTAACTTTATCCACTTGCAGTTGGTATCAGCACATCAGGGAATTCAATGAATGTCAGTGTCCGGCGCTCGGTAGGTTAAGGCTAAATATACTTTAATACATTCAAACTGTGTAGGGCTAGAGCATAGTTTCATTCCTTATATTATATTTACCCCAAACAGCATAATCACTTCTTCGAAGAGATGGTCATTTTAGCCTAGTCGGTCGACTCTATCAGACGTTCAATACAAGGAAAGACCCAGGTACCATAATCCTCTGAATTTTGGTTGTTGGTCCAACCACTGCTCGAACCCTACCCACTAAACTACAGCAGTCATCCACGAGCGTGTGTTATATATATGCATAAATATAAAGATTTTCATTAACCAAATTGGAAAAAAAATTTCAAAGCAATTAGTACTTATAACTCCCATTTTTTGTCTTTATAGAGCGGCTCCGACTTGTATGCCCAATTAGAGGTATGGCGCTATCATTTCAATAGCAACGCACCGGAGAGCGATGGTAAGTGAAAATGACAATAAGCATTTAAATTTACGACTTGAATTTAACAAACATTTGCAATTCTTTTTTCACCTCACCAACTCCAGACGATGAGGAAATGCTACCTACAACCAGCGCTCTGGCTGTGGCCGGCGCTGTGCCCAAAACACCCGAAACTAAACGCACCGGGCGCAGTGGTGGCTCACACATACATTTGTGGCAATTCCTTAAGGAACTCCTTGCCGAATCACATGCCCATGGCACGGCCATACGTTGGATAGATCGCAGTCGAGGTATTTTCAAAATCGAGGATTCGGTGCGTGTAGCAAAACTTTGGGGTGGACGTAAAAATCGGCCAGCAATGAATTATGACAAGCTATCGCGTTCGATACGACAATACTATAAGAAGGGTATCATGAAGAAGACAGAGCGTTCGCAACGTTTGGTCTATCAATTTTGTCATCCCTATCAGTTGTAAAGTGCGGAGAGCAAAGAGAAAGGAGAGGAGTGTGGCAGAAATGGAGAGCGATAAGAAATTGGTAATGAGAAGAAGAGAGGTGGGAGGAGGAGAAGTGAGAAGAAGAGAAGTGAGCAATAGGTGACAGCTAGAAGCAGCACAAACGATGATTTATAGCTATTTATGTATTTATTTATTTATTTATTGCTTTAAGCTACAGAAAATTTTATTAATTTATTTATTTATTTTATAATAACGAAAACAAACAAACATATTTATTCGTGAATGTTGAGGAGTGAAGTTTGATAATTTATTTATTTATTTATTAAATTATTTATTTATTCATTAAAATATTTATAATAATTTATGAAAAAAGTGCCTATAAAATTTTCAACAATTAATGCATATCAATTTAGCATTGCTGTTGCATTAGAGGCAAGTGCATTTGCTCATACGCAGAATAATGCTGTTAAAATTCTTGTATCTCTGAAAAGTCCAGTGACCAAAACGCAAGCAGAAAACTAAAGTTCTTAAAACCTATAATGAAAACGAGTTATTTTCGTTTATGTAAGATTTAATGCACAAACCAGTGTGTCAATGTTTTGATGCATTAACGTCTTATTTACTACGCGGAATCTGCTGCGATAACACTGGAAAGCCATATATCTATGATATATATCAGTTTAAGTTCTGTGAACAAAGGAATTTAGTTTTAAGAAACATGAAAATGGCAGGAAACCGAACGCCTTCAAATCGAATGTGCTTTGCAGAAAAGAACAGATTATAGCCATTTCAAAGTTCATTGAGACACAAAAGTACAATAAATTTTAGAAATGCTGCCTTGAGAATTTTTTTCAATCAATACCAAAATATTTTATACTTTAATACAAATAATAAACAAATATACATACACAGAAGGAATAAAAAAGGCAAAAAAAAAAATTTTCGATGAGTATTCTGATTTTTCTGCGAAGCTCATAAGGGAAATGAACAATTTAAATATGTATTTAGTGAAAATAAAACATAAATAAAATCTCATAGTTATGAAGATGTTATAAACAATTATGTAAATCGTTAAGGGATTTCAAATTTAAATGGTTAGGATTTTTTATGGTGTGGGTTATTTATTATAGTTTATAAGAGAACCGCAATTTTTTAATGTCAAAGACAAAACAGCAATTATTTATTTATTAAATTTATTACAATATTTATTTATTTATTTATTAAACACAGCAATGCATTTGCCTTTTGAGCAAAATAAAATACAGACGATTTTTATACAGAATTATTTATAAACTTATTGCGTAGGAGTTAGAAGTGGAGGTTAACAATAACGGTGTAATAATTATTTATTAAATTATTTATTTATTTAATGCATAAAAGTTAGAAGTTGAGGTTAACAATAACGGTGTAATAATTATTTATGAAATTATTTATTTATTTATTTGCATAGAAGTTAGCATTTGAGGTTAACAATAACGGTGTAAAAATTATTTATTAAATTATTTTTTTTTTTATTTATTTATTACATAGAAGTTAGAAGCTGAAGTTAACAATAACGGTGTAATAATTATTTATTAAATTAATTATTTATTTATTGAGATTGTTTGTAAAACAAAACAGCAAAACAACAAAACAACAAAACAGTGACCATACGATACCACTCGTGAGCGATTAAGCATTGTTTATATACATGCGAGTATGTACATAAATGTTATAATTTATTTATTAATTTGAGCACAAAATGTTGAAAAATATTCAAAACCACACATCAAAACAAGCAGAAAATATGTGGTGGAGTTAAATAGATTAACTAAAAGCCTTAAATCCTCCCTCTCAAACAAATGCCATTTGAAACGAAACGAGAAATAAGAAAAAAACCTTATTAAAAGAGAAAATAATTTAAATTATTTATTTATTGATTTATTTATTTATTTTAGCATTAAGTTGCAGAAAACGAGTGTAAAATTCGTGTTTTGTAATAATTCAGCAGAGACGACAAAAATCCGCAAAGTTGTGCCTATTTAATTTATACAAAAGCATAATTAACTTATTTATTTATTTATTTATTTATTTATCCGCCAATTTATTGGCATTGCAGTGTGCACAAGCCTATTTTGGCCAACTTTTTTTTTAACTAGCTTTAAGCATTTCGGAAGGCGCGTTTAGTAGTTCAGCATCTTTCGGATGTGAACAACGTTGCCAGTTATTTCTGAAATTTTAGTAATAAAGTTACTCGCTGGGAAATTAAAAAAAAAAACAACAAAAGTATACTCAAACGAGTACAGAAGAAGCAAACAATGATTTGTTGCTTAATATTTAATATTCATACATAAGAACAATGATTTGTTGCTTAATATTTAATATTCATACATAAGAATATATATTTATTTATTTATTGCCCAACAGCTAACAATTATTTATACCATAATTTATTTATTTATTGAAAAGACAAAAAAAAATTAAAATAATAATGAATATAATAATTTATTTATTAATTTATTTATTTATTTATTTATTGCGAAAATTGTAACATCTCGACAATTGAAATAAAATGCGTAAAAAAAATATTATGTTTTTCACTTTACAAGCTTAGTCAGTTTGTTAGAGCAGCTACGCTATATATGCGCCGCCGCTTTGTAAATATATAATATAAAAGATGACATATACATGTATCTATGCCGTCAATAGATTTAGAGTTTACCCAGCCATAGTCAGGAACAAAAAATTCCGGAAAAAACTTGTTTATTGTTAGATTTACTTGAAATTTGGTACACAGGCACCTCATTGCCACAACTCAATTTGTGTAGAGAATATGCAACCCGCTCTTGGTTGACAGCATTTAGGTTTGTCAGCAGAGGAACTCACAAGGTGGAGTCCTCTCCCTCTTCTATGGGTCTTAGCAGTGAGTCAACTGCTGAGGTATATGGAAGAGTAGGGAGGCTGCAGGGTCATAGCATAAGCGGACGATCTGGCGGTTATTGTCCCAGTCCTCAACACCAACTATTTCAGGAAAGGACCTGTGCATTGCTGAGTCTGCAAAATACCTGGGACTCCGGACAGAAAATTAAGCTAGTCACAGAACTCTGAGGAAAGGATGCGAAAGGCGTCTATTCCGGTCTATACCTGCAAGGGAGAGATAGGCCAGAAATAGGGCATGTTACCCAAAATAGTGCATTAGCTTTACATCACAGCTGTTAGGTCTATACTTCTCTATGGGGTTGCAATCTGATGACCAGCTCTTGAGAAAAAGTCAACTATTTCTAGATGCGATGGAATACAAAGGGCAGCGATCCGTACTACACCAACCGAAGGCATTGTATGTTCTCTTGGATCTACTCCCCGTTGACATAAAGGGGTTGCACAAAGCTGCTTGCGCCGTGGTTAAGCTGCAAAAGTTGCCTGAATGAACAGCTATAAACCGTGGGCCCAGTAGCATATTAAGATGATTCCGTATACCGTTATCCCGGATAGAAACCGGAACGGGATAACACCAGCAAACGCCGAATCGATTCATTTTTACACGGATAGATCAAAACTAGACAACAGGGTTGATGTAAGAGTATATTTGAAGGAACTTGGTATCTGTAAATCCTTTCGCATCAAAGCAGAGTTCTTCAACATACTGCTACATTAATTAATGGGTGGGGACGAGAATAGATACCGAGAGAAGATAAAAAGGTCGAAATATGTGAGTAGAAGAGTTTGAGGAACTGGCTAAGAAGGCTAATTATAGAAATTTCTACGAAAAGACTTATAGAAGGTTTCAGAACTAGAACAAATTTTTGTAGGATATCGAGAGGTTATCTCGCTTCTCATGCTGAGAGTATATTTTATTTTGTAGGGGATCCAGCCCGCTGAATAGTCGTGAAAATGGAATACCAGAGAGGGCGAACCCAATTCCCAAATCAATGTCGATGGATCCACCTATGAAGGGCAGGTGAATTGCCGTCCAAGCTTCTCAAGGCGGCGAAACTGACAAGGTGCTTTCATCAGCTTTTTTACATAATATGGTCAGATGAAGACATTCCTGACGGTCGTAACCAATGTGTGATCTGAAGAATCAAGAGCCTTAGCCAAATACCTTGGGATAAGCATCCTTATATTATATATATGATGGAATTGGCAAAAATACGCTGACTTGACCAGACAAAAAAATTCTTTTTGTAATTTTTCGTAATCTTTTTTCCTTTTTATCTTCTCTATATAATCGCCATTGATTTCAATGCATTTCTTAAGCCTATATATCCACTTCAGAAAACAGTTTTCTAAATATTGCTTGCTTGGCTTATAAAGTTCGGCATTAACCGCATTAATTATTTGCTCCTCACAATCACTTCTTGTGTCAATCGTCAGTCTTCGTCCATTTTAAACTTAAACAGAGCTAAAGTGTCTTCCTCTACGGAAAAATGTCCTTTCTGGAAACTTTGAAACCACTTAGAAATGGTCTTTTAAGACAGCGCAATCGTTCTACGCAATTGGCATTCACTGAATATTTTTATTGGCTGTAAGCTAGGCCGAAACCCGAAGAGAATAACATGGCCTTGATGATGGAATTTTATCTGACCTATCCTCTTTCTAGGAAGCCAAGGTGTTAGCATTGCGTACTGCCGTTCGGAAGGCTCGGGCTTAAATCATGATGTCCTACTTACATCCAAAAACTTATAAATTTTTTAATTGCGTTCGTCCCTTGGCTGAGAATTTCAGCTCCTCCGAGTGTATTTCTGGCATGTAATAAAAGCTCTTCATTTAAAAACATTATCAGCCGTTTGGATGCTCTTGGCGGAGTAGATCCATCTATTTGTTTGCAAAAAGATCAAAACGCAAGACCACAAAATAGAGGAGGAGCTCGGCCGAAAATCTATTCAACGCATTCTCGCATCTCCATTTTAACAGATTTGAAAGGAAACTTAATAAAGTAATTGCAACGAATTCGAACTTAAAGATTAAAAAAAAAAACACCAACTGACGGAACTTTGATTAATCCCCTCATAAGATGCTATAGAGCGTATTGTGCTAAAGACTAAAACCTACCATCAATATATCTTGGAAACGTGCAGTGAAAAGAGGATCGACACCTACCACCTTTTCGTCGATTTGAAAGCCGTCCTCGACAGCACAAAAAGGAGCCATCTCTACGCAGCTATGTCCGAAGTTGGTATCCCTGGTAAACTAATACGTCTGTGTAAACTGACCTCAAGCAACGCCAAAGAGTCCGTCAGGATCGGGAAGGACCTCTCCGATCCGTTCGTTAATAATATAGTATTCGACAAGGTCATTCTTTATCGTGTGACTTCTATAATGTATTGCTGGAGAAAATACAATAGTAGAGTTTACAACTGTTTATATAGACTGGATATGGAAGCGTAGACGTCTGGTAGTGAACGATGACAAGCTGAAATATTTCCTCTCAACAAACAAACAGTCATCGCATTCGCGACCCGGATTTCACGTTACTGCCGATAGTCGTAACTTTGAAAGCATGCCACATTGGACTGAGCAGGCAATTGAAAAGTAAAGTCCTCTCCCGACGAAGAAAGAGCAAACGGCACATGGCGCCCATCACTTTCTTCCTACTGTATATCAATTTTGGACGCTTCGGTACTGAGCTGCGCCCCTTAAGAAGCGAAAAGCGACCGGAAGGGGATTGAATTCCATACCATCCATCTTAAAAAGCGCTCAGTCTCCACCGGTGGGCAGCCAGACCGCATTCCCAAAAGAAGTAATGGAAACACAAAACTTTAAAAGGATACATAATATTCCGTAACCACCACAAATGGTGCAGTAGTTGGCTGGAACATATGTAAATATACCGAAGTTTCCCCCAGCAACTAAGCGCACTTACCATACAATCAAAGTTAGCTACAATGGTTGATAGAACTAATGGAGCGTGTGCATTTAATATACGCATTCATACAAATGTATATTCAATATACATATATATATATATGTATATGTATGTAAAATATAATAATAAAATAAATAAATGAAAAAAATAAGCTGAGAAAGGAAGGAAAACTTAAATAGAAGGAAGAAGCGCAGACTTTATTCTTCAGTGCAAATAAGAAGAGCATACTTACTGTACATAATATATATGTATGTGTATGTATATATACATATGTAATACTTAAGAAAGGTCCTTAGAAAGGCAAAGGGACATTGCACCATACGGCA